GTAGTCTTAAAGAAGAAATTTGGTTTTTTGAAGTGTGAATTCGGGTTGTTCAGGATGCAACTTACAAGTTATCTCTCGAAGCTTGTGAGAAGTGCGGGGCAGACTTGTCTCGATATTCAACCTACATATGCAACAGAGTAGAGGATGCGCTGAGAAATTTCGTCACCAAACACCTTAGTTCACTTTTCAAGTAAGGCTAATCACGATCAATTGTTGTCATTTCATTTGGTTGACTTCGCTTTTAGTCTATACTTACTTTTTGAAGGTGCGATGATCCTGTGTGCGAGTTCCGTACAAGGACACATCTCATGAAATGGTGCCGTGAAGGCCTTGAATGCCCTAAATGTGCTGGAGGAGTACTGAGGAAGGAGGTTAGACACTTTAAATTTTAAAAGAAGAACCGTATATACATATTTACATATGCAGAATTGTATTTGTTGATACCGAAGTATTTTAGTATTCTGGCAAAGATCTTTTTGACCAGCAAATGTTCTTCAAGCAAATTGTTGACATTCAAGCAGCAATGCAAGAGCTGAGACCGGAGCAGAAGCGTGAGTATTCCAGTATTCATTTTATTGGGTAGCTGGTATCGTAGCTTACATTTACAGGCAGCATACAAACAAAACCAGGTTTTACATCTTTAATGGCGCTTTACAACAATCTGTCAGCACTAGTTGCTCGATACTTGGAGAAGAACACATATAGCAAAGTAGATCTCGCTTTTATATTTGCACCAATGATGAAGATAGAGTAACCATGCTAGGGTTGTCAGTATAATAATACTTGTCATAACATAACAACCCCTTTTTCCCAATGCTTAGTCAGCCTGTCACTTTTTCATTTTTTTGAGCAGAGTATTTTCTAATTTGCAACCTCTTATAAGTAATCATCTTCATGTAACAGAAATTACTTTGTAGATGCGGGTAAGCCATTTGCGGTTTTATTGCTATTTGTTTTCTTGGTAGATTGTATATGCTTTTACTGCTGAGAATGAATTTGATTTTCTTTGATGCATATTGTACTCTTTTTCTACTTTACTTTATTTTGTAAAATGCACTTACAACTTACCTGAATATGAAACTTTGAATTTTTTCGTTCTATGCAACTGTTACCTCATGTTGCTATATCTCATTTGTTACATAAAAGGGACCAAAAGTTCGCGACTCCCGCTTATCTCGTGTGTGCCTTGCAAATGAGTCATATCTACGCATTGGCTGCCTGCCAGGTTAGAGTTTTCGCTGAAATCGTTGAAAGAACGTGGCAAGGCATTGGAACGCTTCGCTTTGCTTTGACTCCTTTTATTCCTCATTTAATTCTACACTAATTACTCAGTTATCTATTGCTTCAATGTAACCTTGCATCATCATATCAGCCAGTTAGAAAAGATCTTTAGAAGCATCAGAAAAAGATTCTAGAGCGATTTAAAGTCCTGGAGTTGTCGTACTTTGTCGTGGCCATTCGCATTTCTTCCTACCATCTCGTAGATAATTTGCTTGCTCAATCTCATATCTTTTTTGAGCAACTTCAACCAGGAGAGTTTTTCAGTCTTTTAAGCAGTGGCCACTCTGAACAAATTTTAAGCCCTTAAATGAGCCTTGGCAAGCTGGTAATTGTCTGTCTTTATATCTTTATATCTATATCTTCTTTTGAGGTAGTTTTGAAGATTATTTGTGTGGATAGCTTGCATGATGTAAGGATTATCGCTTGGAAGCTTCAATGATTAGCCCTATATTATTGTTTTAGCCTATGCAGTTTTGGCAGTTTGTGCACACAATTTTACGTTGAACCTGAGGCCGCCTAAGGGAATGGCCTGCCTTTCGGATCACTGATCAGTTTCAAGGCAATA